CTGCTGACAGCCAGGGAACTGGCATAGTGAATATAATAAAAGAGAAGGAAGGATGGATGAAAGATGATCTGTTTTAAAAAGGGTCTGTGTGCGCTCCCAAACCCCAGATTGATGTGAAGGCATTTGGGATCCCTACATCAGACTGTAGTCTCCATATGCTTGTAAAGCACAGGGTCAGCCCTGCTGGAATGGGATATTTCCCAGCCTTGGGGGGGTATCAACACCTTGGAGTTTATCCCCTGTGATGATGAACCAGGGGTTTCCAAAAGCTTCCACTGGCAGCTTCCTGCTTCTGGTCTGGAGCCTGCCTTCTTGCAGATGAATTTGTCAGGCTTGCAAATATTAAGCACTGCAGTCTAATGAGGTGTGAGCCCAATTTTGGGAACTGCTGTGCTGTATCTGGGTGTGGTTGTCACCTAATTGCCCCCCTGCTGTAGCTGTCACCCAGGTGGGGTTTGTTCTCTTTCCCATGGTGATAAATGAGCTATGAATTCCCAGCAAGGGTATACCTGGATGTAGGATATACTTCCATCCAAAGTTTGTATTTCATGGTGATTTTCTTAAAGTTTATTTCTGGAGGTGTGTCTCTTTGTTTTTTTTGGCCACTCAAAAATCTGATCCATCTCCTCCTGCCCACTACTGGGAGTGTCAGGATGGAGGTGGAGCGCCCCATTTACAGAGAAAACTGATCCAAAACTCTTCTGGGAATAGGGGAAACCCCTGCAGTTAAGGATTGCTTTGTGTGTACCCTGTGAGGAAGCTGTTTGGCACCACTGTGGTCTCCCCCTCACCACTTAGGGATATCCTTAAAGAGGGGGATCTATAATAAAACTTGACAAAACGGTGGAAATATGATCGACTCCTCGGTGTGGTTATGGCCAGCAGTCATTAACGTGGAACATTTGCTCTTGCCTTGTATGCAGCTCTACACTACAGTGTAACTATTTATGGGCCTGGCTCCAAAGGGATTTATGGAAAGCAAAATACTACCAGTGGATTTGATTACCTCCTGCGAACGCTGCAAATGCTGCAGCAAATTGCAACTGCTGCAAAACAAGCTTTCCACAAGGGCTGCCTGACACGTGTCCTGCTAGCAAGAAATTCCCCAGCCATGAGGAGATGCAGTTAAATGGCTCCTCACAGTCCTGCTCTTTTCCCTTCTTAAGGCTTAGGAGTTTTAGTGCTGCCTCTATTTCTATAGTGCCTCCTCCATTTCTGTCTTCCTTGGCAAGGAGCAAGCAGAGCAGTGTACTGTCGTACCCAGGCTTCAAGGGTGGCCAGTCATTAGAGGATCTATTGTACTTTTTTTGGCCAAATTTGTCATCTTTCACCCTCTGGGGAAAGTGAAGGCATTGCAGGGCATCTGGGGGTGGAGGGTAGTCGCAAGTTGTCCTGTCCAGAAAAGAGGGTGGCAAAAACAAATGGCTTTTGTGCCTCTGAAGTTGAGGGATACATGAAAAATAACTTTATTCTCTCTTTTCCTTTCTGCTGGCATTCTTAGCATCTAGAATGTCCAAATACTGGGAATGGGGTTGTTCTTGGGAGGTCCTGGACTTCCTCCCCGTGAGCTGAAGGAGGGTTCAGGTTTCCTTGTGTTAAGCTGGTTTTGCCTTCCCCCTCACACTGCATTTTGCCTTCCCCTTGCTGTGCTGCTGTACACTGGATTCGTGAAATGATCCCAAGTAAAAGCTACCACTCTTGTTCCCCAAAAGTGGCAGCATGGAGACAGAAACAAGTGGGTGACTGAGGCAGGGAGAGAGGTAAAGCAGAAGTAGAAAGAAGTGGCAGGGACCACCAGGGTGAGAGGTGGCCTGGGAACACTTGGGAATACAAAGCTTTGTGGGTGAGGCAATAGCACACTGTCTTGAATCAGCAGCTACACTGAGAATTGTTTTGTTCTGCTTTCCCCCAACAGCTTTTGAGGGAGTGGGTTTGACACTGACACAGGAAAAATGCTGCAGGATTCAAAGATGTGCTGGTTCTTTCTGTGTCTCAGAGCAGCCATGCACTGCACCTGCCCAGGGGACAGAGATCTTTGTGCTCATCCTCTGCTTTGAAAGGATAATTGTGCCAGTGGGGAGGCACGAGGGTGGAGGGCAATGCTCATCCCCAGGCTCCAGATGCCATGTTTGCAGTGCTGCTAGCAGCCTTCATGGGCTTGCAGAGCTTTACCCAAGCCAAGCAACATCACTTCTGCAGTAGCAACATCCCTGATCCTTCCTCCAGAGCTGGGAAGGAGCTCTCTGAGGCCCAGCTTGTATGTTGTGGTGTTTTGTAATCTTTGGCAAAGACAGGGAGTGTAGGAGGAATGTAAGTACATTTGTCCTAAAGGGAGAGTGATGAATCTGTTTCCAGTTCATGATAAGGGGATGTTTGATGAGTGGTGTCCTCAGTCTTAGAAGAGTTTGCTCGTTCTTTCAAAAAAACCACAAACAAACAAACAAACTCTCTCCCTCCCCCCAGCCCAAACAAATAAAAAAAAAACCAAAAATGAAGCAACAAAAATCAACCTGTCAGATATTGCTGGAATCCAACCAAGACTTACTTTTAAGGTCAGGCACAAACAAGCTTATTAGCTAAATGTGAAATCTGACCAAGTGTTCAAAGTTATATTATTGCAGAGGGGCTGGATCCTAAACTGACCTCAATCAGTTTAACTCCATGCAGCTCCAGAACTGGCCCACATCAAGGTGAAAAATACCTTTTGCCAAGGTTGCTGAACTGTGCTTGGTAAGTTGAGAGGCACAGCTATGGAGATGCTGCCATATCCTTTCACACCAGCTGTGACACCGAATTTGGGGGGTTTAAGCTTATGTTGGTTTATCTGCTTCCTGCTGCATTGGTTTGCATGGTAGCACTGCAGCCCTGTGCACAGAGATCCTCCTGAAAACCTGAAACACCCAATGGCCTGAGACCCCCCACTCCTTAAAGCCCAATTCCTTGTGCTCCTCTGTCCTCATGCACTTCCAAAGCAGGGGGGTTGCCTGGAAATTCCCAAGGCACTCAGCAAGTGAGGGAGACCAAGGCTGCTCTGGCCCTGCTGGGCACTGCAATCCCATCCACAGGAGCCATTCCAGCTTGGCAAATACCTCAGTGGAGAGCCTTGCTACCCTTACACGTGTGAGCACCTGGATTTTCTTGATGCTCTTGCCCTTTTGGGATGTCCCCAATCCCTGTGGCATTACAGGGGAATGTTTGGTGCAGGAGACTTCAAAGAGCCAAGGAGCAGCCTGTGGAACAGGAGTATTTGGCTCTCTGCTCCCTGCAGGTTGGGAGTGGTTGGTGGCAGGGCTTGTGCAATGTCTGTGAAGCTGATGTGGGGGGATAAAGTATTTTCACACAGTATATGAAGCATTTCTTTGATAACCTGAGCATGAGCAGGTTATCACCTCCCCTATGGGGACCTTGGGTGGCTTCAGGACAAGGAAAGATTTCCTTTTTTTCCTTTTTTTCCCCCCTCAGGGGTGTATATGACTCAGAGGCCATGCATTTCAGAAGGGCTTCCATGATTCCCACATCTGTCATCCCACGCAGTATACAAACACAACCTTTCTAGTGCGGACTTTTTTGGTTTGAGTGCCTTTCCCAGGACCAACACCCGAGCTCTGCCGAGGTAGGATTGAGCAGTAGGATCGAGGGTATGTGCTTGAAGTGCTGTGAGGCTGCATTGCCACCTGCTGGGGACACCAACAGAGAGGGTGAGCCTGCCTGGGGTACAGCCTTTGTCCTCAGGTGCTTATTTTGAGCTGGTCTGCTGCCTCTTGCATTGTTGGAGTTTGTCTTCAGGCACTAATAACCTGCAAGTTGTAACTCCGGGGGTTTAAATTTCCTGCTTTGGGTGCTGGCCTTTAGGTTTCTCTCCTGGGTGCAGCCAAAGGAATACAGGGGACACTTTGGCCAAAGGACTTTTGGGGCAGGAAGATGTGAGGAACCTGTGGTGTTCTTCCCAATGTAAAAAAAAAAAAAAAAAAAAAATAGTATGTAATTAAAAAAAAAAATATATATAAAAATCTCTTGCTACAAATTATCTGTATGTGCTGGGAACTGGCCTGGAGCAGGACTTGTGGTCTTGTTGGGACCCAGCCAGGTTCCCTTGGGAGCTGCCATCACAGAACCTCACTCAGATTTGGCCAAGCTATTACACTGAAGTGCAAAACCACGGACAAAATAAAACAGGGGAAGTTGGAAAGACGAGACAGTGGTGCAGTGACCTCTGGCCTGGGTAACCTGTGTAAGCCAGCAGCTTTTGGGCCCCACTGGTTGCTTCTCCCAGAGATGCTTTTGTGGTACTGCACCCTTATTCTCCACCTGGCTTAGCTCCAAGCCTGTCAGAAACATCTGGGGCAGGGGGATAAGCTGGAGTTTGTGGAGGCTGAGATTTCTTCTGCTGTGATTTTCACCTATTAACTCTAGGAGAGCGTCTGCCAACCCACAAGCCAGCAGCCTACTCCAAAGAGGTTTCAAAGGGAAGCCAGTGTGCATCAAATCCCTGCAGCGGCAGTTCATAAATGGATTTATCAGTGTCAGGGCCTGAGGACAGCTCCTGGCAAGGTTTTTTGGCAAAAAAACTTTAAATCACTCTTCTTTGGCAAAAAAAATTAAATCAAAATTTAGCCACTGATTTAGGGTCTATGCTGATTGCTGTTAGTGGGCATTTGAAAAGTTAATATGCAGGAATGAGAAATGAAGTAATTTAGGCAGACAGCACTATCTGTTGTTCTCCTGCACTGTCTCTATGTCACATCTTTGATGGCTGAGGCTGCTGTCAGCCCCTTGAGAGCTGAAACCACGTTGGGGGACACACACACAAACAGATGGCATTTGGTTAACAGTATTTGGGATGTTTCTCATCTTGCTAATCACACTAGTATACACAGGAGGTGAACACAAACTGAGCCAGATGATAAAGCATCCAGAATATGTCTTTTACTTGTTTCTTGGAATATAGGTTATTTTATGTATTTTTTTTTATTTTTGTTTTTTAAACAGACCACCACCATGGAGAAACACAACCATCAACAAGTGTCAAATATCTACACTTCTGATAAAGTCCCTCTCAGGTGCTTGTTGGAACAGAACCAGTTGAGTTTCCAAGCCCTGTCTTGGTCCTGGCTCCCTCCCCTTGGCACAAAGGTGGGTGGAGGTGGGCAGCACCACACCAAACCCCTGTATGAGAAAGGAAGGGAAACCAGAGAAACTGCACCGTGCTGTTTTCTCATCCTCATTGCTGGACCCCCTTCCTCAAGACCTTTACCACAAACCTTAGCAGAAACTATAGAAAACCAGGTAGTGTAGGACCTCAAGCAACTTAATATTGCACGTGCTGGAGGGCAGGATCACCTTTATCCATACCATTCCTGACAGCTTGGTCTTACAGCCTCTGCTGCTGGTCACAGCCTCCCTGAGGTGCCCTGTCTGTCCTTCCACTGAGCAGGAGGTGCTTTCCTAGGAGGATCCACCTCTTCCTTTCGGTGGCCAGCACTGCACAGAGGTGTAGTTTGGTGCAATTAACAGTAACCCACAGGACTGTGGTCTCTGATGGAAGCCAGAGAGGGAGGATGCAGACTTGGATGGAGACACCAGTGCAAAAGGATGCCTTGGGATGAAAGCACAGCCTGCAAGGGAAAAGCCCAGGACTGGCTTTGGTGGATTGGAGATGAGGGAAAAATGTGAAATGCTCTTAACACTCAAGGTGGGTGGAAGGCCTCCGGGAGCTGCCAGCACAGCACAGCTATTATGACATATGTTGATCTCTTCAGATATAAATCCTGGTGACAAAGCAGGGGGTAGAAATAACCCAAAGTTAGGTTGTTTCAGCATTTTTATTAGACAGTGCTCCACTCGGCAGTTGTACACATGGCCCTGATGCTCCCCTGATCAGTGATCCCAGCACAAACCCTGGGACATTAACCATGAGCCAGGCTGCACAAAGCTCTCTTTTACAGAAGTGGTGCCCAGGAGAAACCCAGGCTCAGAGCAGCGTGCCTGCACTGCCAGCACACCAGCCAAGCTGGGAGGCAACTTCAAGCACTGTTGGATTAGTCAACTCCTCTCTGCTTCCCAGTCTGTGCTGCTTAGGTCCTGTGAATGATAGGGGATGCCTGCTGCTGTGTCCACGTGAGCCTGAGGCTTCTGACAGGGATGCCCACCCTCAAGGAGATGAATTTTCTGAATTCATGATGAATTTTCTGCAATTCAGGCTGTCTTTTGATGGACTTTCAGAAACCTATGATGGCAGTACAGGAGCATGGGCTTTGAGGAAACAAGTCAGCCTTCCAGGGCTGGTTTCTGCTCCTTGCCTATCCAGGCAGTTCTCAGAGGGCTCCCCATGCCCCTGGGGCTCAGCTGCCCTGCATTCAGGCACGTGTGAGTGTAACTGGGCCAGGTTTGGTGGTCCTGCTTCGCCACTGCTAGTCCAGGAGAGTGGCTGTGCTGCCCTGCTGCTTCTCCCCTGCCCTTATGGGACCTGAGGCACTCAGCAGCTTCAAAGATCAAAACCCATGTCCACGTTGGTGCAGGCTGAGGAGCTACCCTCAAACAGCATGAAGCAGTGTGCCTGCATCTGTAAACTTCCTTGAGCTCAGTGTTTTAGCTCATGCTCAGTGCTAACAAAGTGAGTTACAGAGTCAAGTCCCAGATTTCTGCGAACTGGTGAGGCATCAGCTAAGGATGGAAAAGCAATTTACTCCCTGCAAGTAGCTGATCTGCCTGACACAGAGCAGCCAGCTAACCTAGGACAGATTTTCCAGCTGGGTAGATGAGTGGTTGCAAATCAAATTACAGTAAACAGTAGCAAGGCAAACAAGTAACTCAAATTATATAGGTTTGGGAAAGCTTATAAAAGAAAACATGTAAAGAACATCTATACAGCTAATAGGTTAAATAATCTCAGAACTCAGTGGCATACATTTCTTTTCCCTTGTTGCTGCTGGTGGGCACCTGGCACCACCTAATACACAAATTTAAATAAAGACCGCAAAATAAGCTCTCAAAGCTAACAAAACACCACAAAAGCAAGCATGCTTAGCTCACTTTTGGACTGGAGGTTGCCACTGGATGACCAATGGACTAGCAAGGTTTAATGTAAGATGACAGTGGATTCCTTGTCTGTCACTGGAACAAATGCACAGAAGAGCTATCCATAGCTTTTGCCTTTAGGGCAGGTAGGTGCAAACTCAGGACAAGCCTTTGGCATGTCAGTCCCAGCTTTGCCAGCTGCAGTAAGATATTACAAATGTATCTCAGACTCCACAGTCCATCACATTCGCTTCACGTGGCACAGCCCAGATACTGAACCATCTGCTCTCTGGGTGCTCAGAAAGAAAACACTTGAAAACAACTTCCAGGGCAACAGTCTCAGCTTTCCATCAGTTGTTCTCCAAAGGCAGCTAAATTCCTGCAACAATTCTATTTGTTAGCACAAAAAGAAGTTAAATAGCCCAGGTCACATTCAATAAAAAACTTCTTCCCAGGAAATGGGATACAGGAAATAGCAAAACTCTGTAGCCAACAAAACACTGTACAGTTCTCCCTGCTCCCACCTGCAGCCCTGAGTTTTTAAGGGACAACAGAAAAATCTGCATTCTGTCTTTTAAACTAAACAATGTAATGAGACAACTAGAAACGTTAGAGAACTCAGGAGGATGGATTTACATTCAGTTAGGTTAACAATGATGAGCCTGGGAAAAGGAGAAAGCAGCCTTGAACTGCGTTTCCAAGTGCAGAAGGATACAGGCAGAAAACTGCCAAGCAGGATTCAGGTTCAGAGTTCAAATGCAGGGAACCTGGCCTTGGTAGGCACCAGCAGGTCAGCAAGAAAGTAAATCGTTCCAGCCATTCCTAAGGATGAAAAAACACTGTGCTTCAGAGAAATTCCCTTTGGGCACCATTTTTTTCAGTTATCCAGGAAGTAAATGAGTTATGAAGACAGAAGAAAAGGTCTTAAATAATTTTCAGGGTCTGAGCCCATACCATTTCCTGAGGTTTCCCCAGCAACTTTGGTATTTCAGTGGGGAAAAGCATTTTGCAGTTTATCAAATGTTGAAAAGCACCTGGCAAAGCACAGCTCCAGCTCCCTCCCTTCTGCTTTACTGATCCACAAGTTCAACACTGGGCAGTTCTGTCAAACTCTGGTCCTTGTGACACTGCTGCCCAAGGTCCTCACTGGTTCAACTTCTGTTGTGCCTTGGCCTGAAGCAGCTTGGGCAGATTTAGGTTAGCTGGGGGGCTGGCTCCTTCAGCAAACAGCAGATTTTTGGGGAGCTGTTAGCAGGAGGCACAAAGTGCCATAGGAACCAACAAGGCCCATAAAAGTAGCCCCATTTGTTCCTCACCTTTAGAATCAAACTGGAACACTTAGGAAGGATTTCAATCCTTCAAAATCTACAGAAAAGAGACTGTCTGAGAAGCCAGGTTACAAATAACAAAAGGAGGCCTGTAGCCATGAAAGAATTCCCCTTGAGATCTGTATGCAAAATCTGTGTTGGATTTTTTTCCTCTTCTCCTAAGAGGACAAGATGCTCCAGCTAAAACATTAACCTGTGCTACAGGGAGACTGCTTCTGGGAAAAGTGTCTTGGGTTGCAGTGCAAGATGTAACCGAAAGTAAGTATTCTATTCCCATCTGTTAAAACCAGTTTTGGCAGTGCTCTTTATCTCTTCCATGACCCATCCTCCCTCCAGGGTGATCTCTTTGTTCATGGGCCATTGAGTCTCACTGCAGGACTGATAAAATTACATCATCCCAGTGTGAGATGCTTCACCCAGGGGGAAGAGCCAAGCATCTAAACCTGTGTATGTTTGGAGACTCAGAACACCACAGCAGCTTTTCTCCACTCAATTCCCAGAGGAGAGAGACTGGACCCATTTGCACCATTGGACCTTCAGAGGAAAACTCCACCCTTCTATGGCATCACTGCTTCAAAGGAAGCTCATCTGTCACTGCAGGAGGACTGCAGCCACTATTTAATCAGACTGCTACCAACACTCTGGCCAACAGGGTGTCAGGTTGTACTCTTTGTCAGTGGGTTGCTTTTTTGTTGGTTTTATTTTTTGTACTACTGCATTTTTATTTTAATTTTCCTAGTAAAGAACCATTATTCCTATTCCCATATCTTTGCCTAAAAGCACCTTGATTTCAAGATTATAACAATTTGGGTGTTTACATTTTTCCATTTCAAGGGAGGTTTCTAGCTTCCTTAGCATACACCTGTCTTTTCAAACCAAGACAAAAGGGTAGAAAAACCCAGTGGGTACAATTTCCTTTCTGTCCTCTACACTGAGTTTTGCAAAGACTCCAGTGGAGCAGTATTTGGTTTTCCTTGGTGCTGGAAGAGCTTAGATCCAGGAGCAAAACACAAAGCTAGAGACTGAGATTACCTTCAAAGAGAGAGAATGGTGTGTCTGGAGTCCGGCACCCATGCTGCCCATAGCTTAAACACCACTCTGCAAACTGAGAAAAGAGGTACAAAAAGTGTTCAAATTTGGTTAAAGGCAAATCTTGGAAAGAAAATACTATCCCTTGTCCTCACATTACCCTCTGCAGAGCAAGGCTTCTGAGGGAAATCCCTTCTGCACAGGCTGTCACAGTGACTGCACTGTTGAAGGATTACTCTGGTGCAGCTGGTCAGATCTAGCTGCATGTCTGCCCCACTAGAAACTGGATTTCAAAGGCAAGGGCAGTGATGGAGAAGGCAGAAGTGAGTAAGCCTCTCTGCTGCCTCACAGACACTCTTACCTTGCACGCCCTGTAGAGGTATTTCATGTTCTGAGTGAGGTTGTACAGTGCCAGGAAGGCATAAGCGTTGCCAGCTGTGCCATGGCACAACCCGTAGCCTTTTTTCAGTAACCCATACTGCCAGATCACTTCTGCACACTGCAGGGCATCATTCAGGTACTGCTGCTCCCCAAAGACCTGTAGAGACAAGAAACAGCTCTCCTTGCTGAGGCAGTGGCCTCCAAACAAAGAGCATCCCTGTGGGATGCAGACAGTTGGGTGTCCTGCTGAAGTGACTTTGCTGTTTACTTTTTAAGGAAGATATTGTTAACATCATGAGTGACACACAACTAGCTGTCACCATCCATCACCTGCAACAGGGCAGTCCACACAACTTCATATTTTACATCTAGCATTAATGGATATTTTCAGAAATGTTTTTTTGACAAGACTTAATTTCTGTATCAGTCAGTGGTTCCTGTGGGGCGATTTCACTGTAACAAGCCATCCTATTTCCAGGTGAGGGGTGGTCTCCCAGCATATTCTCCGGAGGAAGTTTCACATGTAGGGGTCTCTGAGGGGTGTTTGCAAGGTTTCTGGTACCTTGTATGCCTGGATAAGCATGTAGATTACACCTGGTGCTCCATGGCACCAGTGGACGAGCAGGTCTCTGGTGTCACCGATACATGGAGGGTAATTCCCGGATAGGAACTTGAGCTGGCAGACATAGTCCACACTGGGCTTGACTGTGTTGTGCAGCTTTACTTGGCTCACTCCAAAGCCAGGCTATGAGAGAGAAAACATTTAAATCAGGGAGAATTACCATTCTGTCTGTCCCTAAGAGACCCAAGGTCTGCCTGAAAGGTGGAAACAAAGTCAACTATGGCTACATTCCCTCTTGCTCCTTCTAAGTTAAGTCATTTCTTTGGTTTGGGCTTTCACACTAAACAATTACTCACTCAGTCCCTGACTGCCCTGCATTTTGGCAGGGATTTACAGTCCTACCCTTGCATCCTAGAAACAGAGACTGTTCCTAGCATGTCACCTGGTCCTCTAAGCAAGGCTTGCTGCTGCTTTTCCTAAAGATGAGCAGGAATAGCTTCAGGTACCCAGAGCTGAAGTAAGGACATAACAGTCTAAAATCAGTATTAAGGGTGATTCCTAGCATCTAGAGCATCTCAGCCCTTAGCTGCTGGGCCAGCCCAGCTGGCAGCCTGCAATTCTGTGTCTTCACAGATGCTGCTGGGTAATTTCAAGAGGTTGACTTCACTGCTGACCTCTCCCAATGACACTGCCCCACATGAAATCTGTGCAGTTCTAATTTCCCATGGCAGACTGCAATGAGCACTCTCATCTAAGGATCACATTGTTCCCAGGTTGGTAACTGGAAAATTAAAAATCAATACTTGTGCTGTAAAACCATTTGAGATAAAAGATGTTCTCCTCTCCATATTTCACATGCTTGCTTCTCCCAAGGCTTTTTGTGCATCATGCTTGGCTGTTCCAGGCTCCCTGTACTTCATATAGCACAGAAGCAGAAAGCCCATGTAGTATTTTATGGGGAGACTTAGAATTATTAAAACAGCCACTTGGGAACAAGCTCAGGGACTTGGTACAAATTTAGGCTCACAGCAGATTTAGGTCTCCCCTGCTGCTAGCTAGTTATTCTGTGCTCCTTGCATCCCCCTCTTGCCAAATCTTCTGCTTAAAAACCACCATCTCTTCCTCTCTGACCCAAAGAAGAGTTGTATTCACAGGACCTCTACTGATCTTCTATATGGGCTTTAAACTTTGACAGTCCTGAAGGAAAGCTCAAATGCTTGAAACCTGGTGGCTTCCTTTTCCACTTGCTCTGAGAGTTGTATCTAACAAAAGGTAACAGACTATTTCTAGACCAAAATATTTTACATTGCTCATGTGTGCTCTTAATGCTTTAAAAATTCAGTGTTATTTATTGCTGCTATTTTTCTAAGTGTTTAAGTACTGTAAATACATGCAGGAAGGGACCCACATAGGGGAATTATCACCCTCATTTTTTTCAGAGCCAGAATAGGGAATATTGACAGAGCTCCAGTGAGTTGTGCAAAATAGTGAGAAAGCATCAAAGCAAAGGGGTACTGCATCTCCCAGCCTCTTGTCTTGCTCTGCCTGCTTCAGGCACTACAGAACTCGGTTCCTTTATCAAAGACCAACCTCTTTCACGTTTAGAAGCAGGTTCTGCTTTGGATATTAAGGCATTTCCCACTTTCCTACTATGAGCACAATTTCTTCCACCATGCTTTTCTTTTCTCTCAGAGACTCTCACTCAAATGTTCTGACACTGCCCCAAGTAACCACCTCAGAAAACACAGGGAGCCAGCAGATACCAACAAATGTGAATACTTTAGAAGCAATTAACATGAGGGGGAAACTCAGACCCAGCTGAGCTACAGGCCTCCATTATGTGACACTGCTGGTTCACACAGGTCACGTTTCTCCACAGACCTCCAAGGCTGGAGATTCAATCTCAGATTTGAAGAAAACCTTCACAATTGGAAATGCCTGATAAGCACATGGGTAAGTCCATCAGACAAGGCATATTTCCCAGTTTGACATTACCAAGAGCCAATTCAAATGCTGTTCCTTATTCAAAGAAATGTGGAACAGCTGCTAAGAGCTCCTCCCATCTCTTACCTGCATGAGATAGTAGTAAATTCCAGCCAAACCATGGGCTGCTCCCACATAGTACTCCTGGTACCACTCATACATCAGTGGGCTCTTTGCTGTGAAGTTCCTCCTTTTGGATAATGTCTCTCCTGAGGCTACAACTGCTTCGCAGACCTGTGAACAATGGGAACAAACGTGGATGATGGAAATGTTGCTGTCTTGGACACAGCACAGTGAGTATTGTGACACTGAGAAAGATTTGCTTTCCTGCCCAAGCAGAGGATGGAATGAAATGTGTGCCAGTCCAGCACACATTTTACATGCCTATGGATTTGCATGGACAGTGGGGACGTGTGGTGCTTTATCCCTTGTAAGAAAAGCAGGCATACCATGATGTGGTTTCTCCCTTATTGCCAGAGTTCTTTACATCTAGCATTGATTTTTACCCACCCCAAGATGAATTGCATGGGAAGAGACAGGTAACAAATCAGCAAAAGGCACCCTACCTGCTGAATATGACTCTGAGGGATCTTTTCCTCTCCAAAGTGCTTATTGACAAACAGCAGTGCAGAGAGGTAGCCCATGCGCCCATAGAGGAGCTCATCTGGCACTCGTGGGTCAGTCTTGTGCAGGTGGAGCAAACTACAATGAAAAATCCACATGGGGGAGATGAGAGGACACTCAGTGCCACATAAACAAGCACTAAGGCTGCAGCTCAAACCCAGGGTTTGTTCCTTCATGCTGCCTGTGCCCTAGGAGCTGTCAGGCCAGGCTCTGGCTCTCAGCTTTCCATCTACATGAGGTGTGGTATTGCTGCTTGAGGGGGAAACCTGGGCTAAAAGAAATGGTCAGCATAAAGCTGCTGACTGCTCAGGAAAGGCTGCCCACCATTATCTCCTTGTCATGTTATTGGCAAGGCAGACACTGCCAAAAATCACTACCTTCAAATTAAATGGATCTCCTTTTCATTTGGCTGCTTAAGGAATACTAGAAAGTCAAACCAGTGCCAATGGTATGTGGAAAAATCTCGCCCCTAATGCTCAAAAGTCCTGATAGAAAAGCCCCCTCCTCTCCATGCCTGCAAATGGCCTGGGAAATGCTGTCAGGTGAGAAAGAGGTGTCTCCCTGAGCTAGAAATCTAAGTTAGAGGTGGAGCTACACATATTGTTTAACATCAAGCTGCAGTGGCACATGGAAGAAATAGCCTCTAGGGAGAACTGAGCAGCAGTGAGGGCAGCTTGGCAAAGTGGGAGTGCTGTGGCTGTCTGAGCTTGCCTGGCACCAGGCTTTAGCCCACAAGTGCAGCATGGTGTCTGCTGCAGTCAAGTGTTTTCCTTGCCACTTGTCTATTATGAATGGTGATGTTCCTGTAGTGCTAACAGAGACTGATAGCACTTCACACTAATGCTTTGTAGCCCAATTCACTCTTGATGCAATTCTTCCTCTGTTTTACCTCTCATCACACTTCCAGAAAGACTGGATGTCCTTCCCTGTCAGGGCAGCAGGTAGCAGTGTGATTGGATTTGGCTTTATTTTTCTGTTCACCTTTAAGACAGCAGTCTGGAAAGTGCCATCACTTTTAAAATAAGTGGCTTTAAGGCTGTTTCTTGGCTGTTTCCTGCTGTGAAACCAGCCAGGAAAAGCTCTGTGTACACTGAGCTTCCCTGAAGAAGAACAGAAAAGGTGCCCTGGCAGCCTTTGCTCCCTGGGCTCCAGGAACTTTGAAGCAATGTGTTGAAAAGTAAAGAAGCAATCAAACGCCTCAAGTAGAGAGGATGTCACAGCTGGGCTGTGACTTCTCATGGCAGGAAACTTCCCCTTGGCACTGGACCCCAAGGGAGAGGGGATTTTGAAGGAGGAATGAGAAGGGAGGGAGCAGTTTCTCAAGGTGGATTGGCTCTTGTACCACTTGACATGTGGACTGCTCCATGGAGGAGGTTTCTTTCTCACAGGTCAAACCCAAGAGACAGACTTTACACCCAAGGCATGGGTTTTCACCTGCAGGAGATGAAAGGAAAGGCCTGCTGCCTCCTCATGGCACCTGTCTCAAAGTCCAAGGAAGGCAGATTAAGAGGGTTTCCAAGTAGGTGTCTGGACAGACAGACTCTGTCTTGCAGCAGGCTGGCCATAAGAGAAGCTGGCTGGTGATGTTGTTCAGCTCTGAGGTGTCAGAAAATGTCAGGTGAAATGCAAGGAATGGATGGATGCATGAACTGCAATACCAGCAGCAGGGATTTTCTCAGTTCTGGATGTGATATCTTCTTTTCATGGGAAAATCTGGAGCAACTGGACCTACTGTTCTTGTTCTTTGTGCATTACTGCTTTACCTCTAACTTCTTTTCAAGCAGGATCATCAGGGGAGGAAGCCTACCAGGAGCTTCTGCTGTTTTTGGAATGTCATGCATTCCAAAAGAGATGCCTGGGATGCTGCTGGACTGATTGCATGCAGAATGTGTTTCTCAGGTGTGTGGGGTAAATTGTGGTCTCTGAAAGGAAGAGCCACTCCTATTCACATTATCAGCCTATTACCTCAACTGCCAACAACCAGCAGTTTCTGGACAGAGGGAAATCAAGGCAGCTGCAGAGAAAAATGGGATTTTTTACATCATTGTCTCTGAAAGCAAAACTTTGACCTTCTGAATTGGTGGGAATCGACAGGACAAAGAGGGCTCCTAGAACATGGCTCAGATTTTCACAGACTCTTGGAAAATAGGCTGCCCTGAAACATCAGTCTCTCTAGAGCATAAAAACACATTTTTTGGTCATGAACTCATTTAGGAAAAAGCAAGCTTCTGTCTCTTCCACTGCAGGTAAAACCTGGCTGATGTATTCTCTCCACTGGCTCTATAAAGATGACATGCTTTAGAAGACAGAGGACAAAATGCAGAGGCCCTTCTTCTCCACAGCTTTGATAAAATTGCTCTTTCTATGCACTTGCACTGTACAGCTCAGCAAATGCTCTGTAACTGAACAGCATACTCAAAAACCATTAAAGGCAGCTACTTCTCAAAGAAATACTCCATTTTAAAGGAGCATGGTCAGGCTAACTGCTCTGGGAATTGAGGGCAGAGTAAGGACAGCGTAACAGTTCATTTGAGAAAGCCACATTTTCCTGTTTTCCTCCTTGCAGATGTATGAAGAAACCAATTTCCAGTGTTCTGACTTTATTACACCATTAGATGGCAGTGCAAAATTAATCACAAGATTCCATTCTGCCACCAAAGCATAGGCAGAACAAGAGGGTTATGGGGAGGGGGGATCTCAGCAAGAAAACATGAATTAGGGACTGTTTTTACAACCTGGGACTTATGCACTGACCACAACTGACCAGTGCTGTTTGTCAGATCAATTCCCTTTTTTATTAGAAAATATGTTAATCATAGTGAGATTTGCCACTTTGTCTAGATTATTATCAGAATAAAGAAAGAGTTCTGTCCTCAGACTGATTGTATCTACATAAACCAGAAGCTATTCTTAGTAAAGGGAGTGGGAACTTGGTGCCCAAACAACACAGACACTTCTGATTCCCACCTGCAGCTTTTTAAAATTGCTATTACACATCACTTGCTCATGGCTGTATAAGGGCAGTCAGAGTTCTGAAATGTCAGGGGTTTTGTCTTTCTTTCTGCTAATCATGTATAAATGGAAACTCTCCACAGGGCTGTTTCTCACCTTCTTAAAATCCATCTCCCTTAACTGAGAAATGCTTGCAACTGCATCTCCTTAACTATTTTCCTTCCTCTGCACATGCTGATTTATGACTGCTTGTTTGTCCTTTTCTTGTCTTAAGTACCCCAAAAAAATACATGTGAAAACAGTCGAGGAAAGGCAGGAAATAGAAATAAATGAATCATAACCAGCTGCATTCTGCAGTTGAAAGGGATGCTGTCAATCTTAGGTTTAAGTCAAAGACAACTAATAAAGAACAAGGGGAAGCAAGTACCAAAATTAAATCTAATAATCTTACCACATTTTTCCTTTTCATCAAAATGACTGTAAAGCTAAATTAAAATGTTCTCAAAAAACACCAAACCCCACCTTCTGTGGTTTTTTTGTTTTGTTTTTAATTTTGGCACTTTTATTCTTCCTGTGTTTATCAGAATTATTTTTAAGATGGCAACACCAGCTGAACAATATCTTTGCTCCCCAGCCTGCCATGCAAACGTGTTTGTCCCTAAACCACCTCTTCCACCAGGGCAGGAAAAGTTTTTGCTGCCTTGCTGAGTTATTGGGTTGTTTCTCATACGAGACTGCAACAAAATGTATTCACATAAGTCAGAGAGTGCCTCACACAAGCCCAGACCAGCTCTGTGAGCAAGAGGAAGGTCAGGTCACAGACATAAGTAAGTGTTTTACCGGATGATGCAGTCCTCTGCCTGCTTCTGGTTCTGCAGCTTGTGGTAGATGACAGCAGCCACTGCCAGGGGCCCGGCATCACCACACAAGAAAGTGATGGATCGCTTGGTCATGCATCTCAGGCTCTTCTTCACGTAATCATGGGCCACCTCAAGGTAGGCTGGGTCTCCATAGACATCATACAGGTGCAAATACAGCAAAGCAATGCCTGCAGAAGGAACATAAAGGTTGCATCCACTAGAAATGTTTGCTCTGTTACTTTAATGGACCTAAATGTCTGGCCTGGCGCTCATCTAGGGCATAAGCCTTACAGGCAGGCTTCTCAGGGACATAACCCACAGCTTCCTTTCCTGCTTTGTCATCTCCTTGTAACTCGATGCTGCTTGTGAGTGGATGGCAGGTCATGACAACAGCAGGGTCTGACCCAGGAAGGCCTGGAGAGCAGCACGGAATTGCATAAAATTTTATCTACAATTACATAAAATTTTAGTAGCAAGGAGCAAAAGATGAGACCTAGACAAACCCACCTAACCCATACACTGGTACCTGTGACTTCTGCTCAACAGTGAAGGGGAAAAAATATCATCTTTGGGCAGATAGTACTTGTGACAGAGCAAACTCAGTTGTCACCTTCTCTGTTTTTTCTCCATCATTAGTGGGTAAGCAGTTGGGTCACTTAGCTTGGATCTGATTTATAAAAAAAGTGACACAGCATCAGCACCAAGAAACAGCACCCTTAAGACATCCAGACATCCTACTTGACTTTTTTTTAAATTATTATTTCTTTCTTTATTTTTTTAAAATTCCTTTCCACTGGGAAGCACCAGCAAGGTTGTTACAGTTCCCTGGACATCATCTCCTGTTGTTGAGCAAGTCCCAAGCCCTAGAGCAAGGGCTGGTTCATCCTAGGAAAAAGGGGACTGCCCAGTTCTCCTCTGCAGCACATCTGTCATGACATCAGCCCTTGTCTGAAACACAAACAGCTGCCTGGAATACTAGAAAAGGCTGCATGGATTTCCAAAGGACTGGCCAGCTACAAAAACAATTCTTCTACTGAGCAGTCACATCAATTGCTGTCCTTTGCCTCTGTCTGCCTTGTCTTCACCCAGCTCTTGATGCTTTTAGTAGGTAAATGAGGAGTTCTCAGTAAGTCTATGCCTGAGAGGTCTGTCACAACTGAACCCTCCTTCTGGTCTGGGAGCCATCCTCAAACCTGCACTTAAGAAAGCTACTGGCCTACATGACTTTGAGAAGAGCTTATTTCTCCCCTTAACAATAATCATTTCTAAGAAGACTCAGGTCCTGCATTAAGTCTAAATTAATAGAGCCAATCTCTGCAGATTTTGATGTGTTAAGGTCAAGAGGGCAAGTGTGCTGCAAAATTACAGTCCAAGGTACTGAGGACAATTTCAAACTTGGATAATTTTCTCATTTTGCATGGGTAATCTCCAAAACTTCATGTTGCAGACAATTCAATTCCACATGTACATTATATATAAAACTTCCATTTCCTGCTGAAGCTAATAACCTTGTCCTCTCTTTAAGCAATTCAGTGCTAGCAGTTCTAGAGAGAGCTCAGGTGTACAGTGCCATCACTCAAGTCTATAAGGATGTAGATATAAAGCTCTTTTTTTAAAGGGGAACCCTCCTTTTCCAGCTAGAGAATGTCAAGTGACTCTCCTTCATATATTTAGTACCTAGCACATCTTCTAGACTCTTATTAGCCTGGTAACTGCCTGAGCACAACGTGCACTTTTGACTTACCTGCTTTAATATACAACTTCTAGCTTTTTAAGTAGTTTCTATTCCCACTGGCATCATACCACCCTAATTATGCACATAAGTACCCTGCCAAGACCACTGCAAGGACTGGATTCTTAGAAAGTAAATCTCAGCATTGTTTTCCTCTGGTTTCTTCACCTCTCCTCTTTTAAAACATTTCTCACCCCCATTCCTCCCAGAACCAAGCATCTTTGGAAAGACTCAAAAAAACCACTGACCTGTACTAAAGGATGAAGTTGCTTTCCCAAAACATTCACTTTTCCTTTTTGTTTAAAACTGAAAAGTCTATAAACTGCATCTAAATCCAGTTTTCTTAATTAATCCCTGTTGTTGTTTAATACTGGCAATATGCCAGGTACCCATGAAAGTTGCTCACCCTCTTCTGTTAGACTTGGGCAGAGGAGAAGGGGAAAAAAAATTATGAAGGGTTCATGTGTTGAGATAAGGACTGGGAGAAAAAAACACTATAAGGGCAAAACAGGTTCAAATTTAAAAGGTATAAAGTAAATTTATTATTAACAGAGTCAGATAATGAGAAGTAAAATAAGCCTTTAAAACACCTTTTTTTTTCCCCAACCTCTCCCTCCTTCCCACTGACAGCACAGGGAGATAGTGTGGGGGTTTTTGGTCAGTTTATCACTCCTTGAGACATTCTGTTCACTCAGGGAGAGGAGTCTTTCCTTCTGCCATGGGGTCCCTCCCAAGGACAAACAGTTGTTCCAAACCTGATGTGCTGTGGGTCACTTGTCCACGGGGTACAGTCTTTTAAGGATAGGCTGCTCTAGTCTGGAACCAAGGGCCCTCTCTCTGTCTGCCTCTGGAATTAGGAGCTCTCTCACTGTTTGGGTTTCCCACTGGATCACAGCTTACTCTGGCATCCACCCACTCTGGCACAAGCACTTTTCCCACGGGCTGCAAGTGGATCTCTGCATCCCCTGTGGACTTCATGCATTACAGAGGGACAGCTGCTTCACCACGGTCCTCACCATGGCAGAGGTTCATTCCTCATTCCTGCAGAGGAATCTCGGCTCTGATGCTTGGAGCACCTTCTCCCCCTCTTCCTTTCCACTGACCTTGGTGCCACCATGTTTTTGCCCACATCTCCTCACTTCCTCCTCTTTTCTGACTATTAGAGAAACTGCTGCTTGTAGGTACCACTGTCAACAAGTTCCACTAATTCAAAGATCCTTGTAAGATTCTGCAGTGCTGAGAGGTTGACCTCATCTAGGTTCCAGGTCAGGGAATGGCTCATCGTATTTCTGCTGCTGGCCATGCAGCAGCACCTCCCCACCCCTGGAGAAAAAGCTGCTCATGCAGTGTTTTGATTTTCTTCTTAAGTATGTCAGAGGAGTTACCAACCTCTGTATTTGGGCAAGCAGAGTATCCACCTTCAGAGCCATCACAGAGAGACTGGCTCTGCTGAACATGGTAGAAGCTTCTAGCAGCTGCTCATGAAAGCTAACCCTGTGGCCCTCCCCTGCTACCAAAAAAAAACCAGGCCATGCCAAATCAACACAATTCCTCAAAGAATTCCTTACTCCCAAACTGATCAGAAGGGTGGAATCAGAGCTGCCTTCAGCTTGCTCCTCGCTCTGTTGCCATCTGTGAGCCCCAGAGGGGGGAAGGCAGCAGAGGAGGGCAAGCACAAGCATGAAGAGGCTTACAAAACACAGCCACCTGGGTGGGGATATCCTGTATTAACCTGTGTGCCAAGACACTGGCAGAGCATTTCAGAGGCAGTGCAGACTAGACACAAGAGCATCCACACGGTGACTTTGGCTCAGTTAAGGCAGTATTGCTCTGCAGAAGCTCTTCCACAGCTCTGCCTCACTCCCTCTCCAATATTCTCCCGACCCCGACCGGGTAGGTTTGTGACTTACTGGGTGTTTGTCTGGCAGGCTTTAAGTGGTATGCAAACATGGCATCACCAGACACATGGAACTAGGTAGGCTGTGGATCTGCTCCATTTCTGTGTGCCCTGGAGGTCTGGTGTACCAGTAGAAATGTGACGTAATTTTGTGACCTCTGATTGTTTCCAAGCAGAACTGCCATACAGTGGCTGCCTGTGGCCTGCTGCTGCCAAAAATGTCTGGGCTTCGTTCTATTTATTGTTTACTACTAGACCTTCTCTGTAGTTTCTCAGATGTCCAAGTTTTTTGCTTCTTGCCCCTGCTGCAGAGCCAAATGAGATGGGGAATTCATCAGAGAGTCCTTGATGGCAGAGGGCTGCACTGAACACGTGCTACTGACAGACCAAGAGGGCTCTGAGGACTGAAACAGCCACCTCCAGCATGCAGAGAGCTAATACACTGGAGTTGTGTGTTGATGCCCAAGATGCTTGCTCACTGCAGGGAATCAGGAGGCCAAAGTCAATTCTGCATGTCTCACAAAGCCTGCTTAGTCAAATACCTTCAGAAGGACAGTGAACAGCACCTCTCTCCTCTCACCTTCCTGCATGGTAGGTGCAGAGGGCTAGATGCAGAGGGCTACTTTGCATTAGAGATTTGAGTGGGCTAGTACGTAGTAGAAATTGAATTGTTTGCTGGCTTGTGCTGATGCCCTGACTTCAGCAACCATTGCTTTCAACAGAGCAGGCACTGCTGGAAATACCAGGAAAGGTTTTGCTTCTGAGCTTAAGCTTTGCAGTAGGCAGAAAGAGTATCTCATCCATATGACCATCCTCTGATGGAAGAGCTGTGCCTCAACTTCTCTGCAAGTTTAGACTTGGTCTTTTGTTGGACTGCAAGCAGTTTGCTTTGCAAGCAATTTATGCCATTGGACTGTTCTGAACATGCCTCCTTGCCCAGCAGGAGCTGAGCTGTGCTTCTACTAAGGAAAGGAGGTTGCTGCAAGAGGATATTCTGTTCCAAACCAACCATCTAGAGTCCTAAAGGATCTCAGAGATCTTGCACTGACCCAGGGCAGTAAGTCAGCCAGCAGCCTCAAAGCAGGATGTCAAACACAGAGGGAAGAAGCAGAAACCTCTGCACAATCATGAAGCCTGATGGTTTCTAATGAGACACCTGATGCCATTTTATTAAGTCAGCCATGGGGTAAGAGAGCATGGATGGCTCAGCTTTATTGCCCAGCTCAAATGATAATTAGCATCTTTCCTGGTGCAGACACATGGGATGCTACACTGCACTCCTAAATGCATGCCAAAGCCATGCTGCATGCAACAGGGAGACATCTCTGGAAGTCCACATGCAGAACTGGCTGGGGAGCCAATCCGCAGCTTATCTTCCCAGTGCACTGTGGGGCACTGGATGATTATCCAGGGTGCCTAAGCATTTATCCTGCCTTAAAAACTGGGTAACAGAACTTCTTCTGTAAAATGTTTTACCCCATCACAAAATCCTACAACAGGTTAGGTTAGCAGGGATCAGTGGTGATCTGCTCCAACCCTCTGGAAGGAAGGTCAACCTCAAATTTGCATGCCACTGCTCTGGGCCTTGTCCAGTCAAATACTGACTTGCTTCAAGGACAGGAATTTCACAAAAACTTCCTGCTAAGCATTTGGCAGGAACGTGGTTTATGTGAGTGACCCAAGACACTCTATTATCTCTCAGTAAATGCAGCCTCACTTTCTCTTGTTCTGTAGGGATTATCTGAGGATTCCCATTTTTCTGAACAGGACTAAAAGGGACCTAAGTTCTCTGGGTTCTGAGGTTAAGAAAAACATATTGCACCAAAGTGAATGAAAAGTGTTTTTCCTGAAGCTTTCCTGAACTGATTCATTTATGATTTTCATTCTTACATGGCTTTCCTTTCAAAAGACAACTAAACCCTGCCCCTTGTCCTTACTTGCCAGTGGGCCAGCCAAAAGCTGTGGATGGGGCAGACCAGCTGGACTTACTGGGCAGTTTCAGAGGCCCTCCAGTGTTGAAAGCCACGACTAAGACACTGACAGAGAAAGAAATGCTTGCATGGGAAACAAATTCCAAATGCACTACCATAGTGTGGAGGAAGGTGAATCTCTCCCTTACATACTTCATCACCTTGGAAGAACACAGCAGTCCAGCAGACACTGCACTCAGGAGCACCCTAGCTTCTGCAGTCAGCTGGTGTCAAGAGTGAATTTCCTTCCATTCCCTTTCCATCAGCTGTGCTCCCAGTCAAGACAGTCTTTGGAGCAAGGCCTTCTGCATTATCACCAACAGGCATGTACGTATCCCTCAGCATCCTCGTGCTAATCTGCCTGAAAATGGATGAGGCCACTGTGCTCCTGCCAGGATCTGAACTCCTTCCGACTCAGAATTAGCTTAGCACAGTTCAGCTTTCCTCAGTCAACACAGGTTGGGAAAGAACTCTTCCAGCAGTCTCCCTAAACTGATGAAAAGCCAAAGCAGAACACAACAGCTGATGCTGGTCTGTACTCAGGCATGTACCTGGTGCTGCCTATGGGGCCGTGATCTCTATGGGGAACTGAATGACAACGTAATAAGATGATTCAAATATGTTATGAGGGCATTCAGCCATACACTGGATAATCTTCATCCAAAGTGAGTTTTCACTGCCTCTGAGCTGAAAATCTGAATCCTTCCCTCCCTCTGCTCCAAATTCTCAAGCCAAGAAGCCGTGGCTGCCCTGGCACAAGCGCACGCTGGGGGAACAGGGCTCTGTCAAGTGTATTATGAGCCCCAAAGTAAAAATGCCAGCATATGCTGTGTATTACTGAGTGTAATGTAGTACACTCAAGTATGTTACATCTCACACAGTTTGTGCCAAGAGAGCCATATTTCAAATCTCCCTTATTAGCGGCCACAAGAGTAGGGTTTATTTCAGACTGCTGGGCAATGATTCACATGAGGAGATACTCAACAAGCCTTTCCTACACAAGCAATTACAGGAAAAAGCTGCTGTCTTGGCCCAATTAATTTTGTCTCTGGAAACCAGCTCTGAATAAATTACTATAGCTAGAATTGGAAAAGAGGGTAGGGTGACAAAGTCATAGTATAACATCTGCAAACTTCACCATGCTGGCTGTGACTTCCAGGAAATCCATCCATGGATTTTTTTTCCTATTAGCCAAGGCAAGAAGGCTGTGTGCCATTGAGGAATGATCTCTGGGAATAAAAGAGAAGAATCCCTCTTGAGAAACTCCCTTCCAAATGAAAAGAAGCTGTAATCCTACCAGAGTTCTCAACCACTGTTTCATAACTGCAGTCATTTTCCAACATGAAGTACCTTAGGACCACCTCAAGAAAGGCAACATGGCCTATGGGGGAAAGTGTTTTCCTTCTTCTCAAAGACTTTGAGAGTACTCCTAACATCTACTCTCCTCTTGCTTTGTGTCCTGAATTTTCTGGCCAGAGGCAGACCCTGCAATCATGACTGAAGACTACCTTTACCCAAGCAATGCTTTTCATCAGAGGGGACTTCAGTACAGGATCACACAGACTGGAAACCTGAACATGTCTCCCAAGGTGAAATCAGCCAGCACTCAGCAGAAATGCAAAAATTCACTGGCAGCAGGAGCAGAGTGCTGCCAAGACAGCAGCTGACGAAATCAATGTTCTCCCACGCTGGAATTTAATACTGGCATCCTAGCATTTCTTATGAACTGCTCTTGAGTGCCTCAGTGCCTGCCTGCCTTACTAGAATTTCAAAGCAGGCCTTTCTAGCACTGCTGTCATCAAGCTGCAATGTTACTTTAGCACCAACACAGTGAACACCACTCTCCTAAGCAAACTGTTGGATTTAAATTCCACAGCACCCACATACAAGCTAGCCACACCCAGCTAGTACTGTAGAAAGCTGCCATTTAAGATTGCAGCATACTGCCAAAAGAAAAGGAGCAGCACCAAAAAAAATCTTGCAGCAAGCATGAGATTAATTTCAGCTACCCTAGGGTCTCTCTCCATAGGGCCTGGCACAGCGCAGAAGGCAGGAGAAATGACAAAGCACACAGCAGCAGCTAAAAATGGGGCACAGACAAAGGTGTGTCCTCCCTGGCACCAGTGGTGAGAAACAGGGATGCAAAGGCAGGATGCACTCCCAAGGAAGGAAAACCAGGTTGAAAATGCAGAATAGGAGAAAGGCAAGTTCCTGGAAGCTTTGCACACTAGTTAGTATGAGAAAGGCTTCCACACTTTGTTATACTCACATTAGCATTTCTGCTCCTTCTGACAGGCACTGGAGCAAAACCAGCGCTCACTAAGTGGAGTGGCACTACCTGGGGAACAGGAATGGAGCAATCTGACAATAAGACAACGTCATCAGATAAAATTCAGCCCAAACAGAAAAGATAGACATTATCTGAGGCCATAAAGCTCACTGCAGCCAGATGCAAGGACTCCTTGTAGGTAACTGACCTACCACGTACACCTGCCTACTTCATGAGCACAGGTTTTGTTGTCATCATCCCCACCGCGGCTGGGTTTGGAGCCTGTTCCTCTGAAGGCTCCCATGCCTACTCTCAGGCAAGTGCCAGCACTATTAACCAAGACTAGACCCAATCCTGTCCTATGACACTGGTGTCTTCACTCTGTAGCATGAAACCTGCTTCAAAAACGGGGGCTCCAGAGAAAGACATCCCCTTGTTCTAATGGGCTAAAACATGCAGAAGACGTGCCATTCTTGACGTGGATCTACAGTGACCATTCCAATGGCCAACTCCCCACGGAATGCCAGGATCTGATCCAGAAGTCCGCTCCAGGCAGCTCCTGCTCCATGGGATCCGACCCTACCTGTCCAGCCAGTGTACGCGCTGCAGTCATGCGGGTCGGCCGACTTGAGGCCCCTCTCCATCTGCTGCAGCAGCTCCCTGATTTTGTTATTCAGCCGCTGTGTGAACTCGGGGGTCAGCTGTGGAGAGAAAACCCACCAAACGTGGTTTTGCAGGCGGCTGGGCACCAGCAAAGCGAGCACACCCTACGGGCGCGCAGCCGGGGAGCCGCGTTTGTAACATGCTATACACGGCCGGGGCCCGCAGCCGCCTCTCCCCATCCCCGCTCACCCGCCCGGCCGCATCGAAGTAGCCGGTGGCCAAGGATTTGTCGTAGTCCGCGTAGGGGTTCGGAAGTGCTCTCTGCGCCATCATTTTGCCGCTGAAGCCCGCTGGGCTCGGCTGGGCTCGGCCGCGGCCCGCCCCAGCTCCGCCCCGGAAGGCGCCGGTGCCGCCGCTCGGCCCTTCCCGCCGGGGGCGGGCTGCGGGCCCGCGGGGCCTGCCGGAGAACCGGGCTGCGGGCTCTGCCCGATTTAGAGCCCTGTGGAGTTAAGGGCAGCTCATCATGTAGGGTTTCATGTGGCTGATGAGGCGATTGCGGCTGGCCCGGTGGGGTTTAGGGGCCCATTGCTGGTGGGGCTTTAGGGAGCCCTTTGGAATATGAGGTCCCTTGTGGGGCTTAGGGACACTGTGGGGCTGAGGGGAGCTGTCTCTGGCTGTCCCCGTGCGATTTCGGGCCCCTTACCGGTGGCCTTGTGCTTTTCAGGAGTCCCATGGTGGGGGTCCGTGTGGGGTTTGGGTCATTTGGCTGCCCTGTGGGATTGGGGACCCTGTGGGATTGGGGAGCCCTGCAGCAGCCTTGAGCGGATGGGCACCGCGTGGCTTTGGCCCTAAGCTGCTGCAGGTGCTGATAGAGGGTCAGCCCAAGGAGAAAGTGCTGAGTCCTGATCCATCCCAGCAGTATTTCCTCACTTGGGGTGGGATCCAGCCTGCATGGGGGACAGGGGCTCTTCATCTCACCTGTGCTGGCTGAGCTACATCTTCTTCATGAAGAGGTTAGGTCCCCATAACTCACAGGGCTGAGCAGTGCTTTTCCTCCTAAGTACAACAGTAACGCGGTGCTGCTGGGGCTCTCCTTGCTGCTGGCGTGGGGCAGTGTGCCCCTGTGCAGCTATCCAATGGAATTTGTGCTGCCAGGTAGCGTTCACTGGGCTAACAATTCCTTGTGAGCTGTATTCCTCAATCCAGGCCTTGCTGTAACACTGCCCAGCTCCCTTTCTTTTCACCTTATGGGCCTGAGATGATGTGATGTCCCTGCTTGAGCTGTGGCTTGCTGAAGTGTGTGACAGGTGCAGCTTTGGGGCTCTTGGTGCCTTGTCACGGTCTAAATGCAGTGACACTGCCCCTTGTAGGAGCTGAATCCACCTGGGTGGGTTTAGGGGGAAAATGCTGCTCTAAGAATTTACATGCTGGTGACTGTGAATACCCTGAGAACACCCTGCTCCATTCTTTATTACAATAAATAAAATTAGATGTCAAAGAAAAAAAATAAATTATTTCATGATATGGTGAGAAACAAACATAAAAGAAGGAATCACAATTATGTTTGCTTTCAGATCTTTTTTCACTCAGCTGTTGCTTGTTTAGTGAATTTCAATCATGTAAACATTGCCTTGCATTCAAGGCAGGGAGATGGACTACAGTTTTAGTATTCAGGGAGGCAGCTCTAGCATCAGCAAAAAATAATGTGGAGTCTTCTGCTTCAGGCCAAATTCACAGCCTATATCATGGTCTTCCATCTGCAGGTCAAAGCAGTATTCACTGCCCTGCTTCCCTCAGGCACAGTTCAGTATTAACTTCCAGCGTAAGGTTTTTATTTGATTCCTCACATTATTTGTTTTTCCTGATCACTTGAAGACAAGGATGGTTCTCCAAAATTATCCTGCCTCTTCTCTTCACCAGGGAGCCAAGGAGTTATGTTTCAGTATATTATTTTCTAGCTGGTCATGGTCCCTTTGGCTTTGGTGCACCTCTTGGTGCCAGGGTGAGCCCAGAAATCCAGGCTGCAGCTGTCACTCAGCCCAAGTAAGAGGCTTGTGATTCGTCCTTAGTAACCTGCCCGTGCAGAATAGGGAATAAAAGAAAATCTGAGCTTGAGAGGAAAGCTGCTCCTGTGCTCTCCCAGTCTGGGCTGTTTGGGAGTAGTGGGCTTCTTTGAAAAGGATCCTGCTGCATTCTCTAAAAAAACCCCAAACTATTAAAGCAGATCTGTTCAGAACACATCTAGAGAGGGATCTTGTGTGAATGCAGCTATGAGAGCACAGAGAAGATGGTGAGAAAGCAATCTCTAGTAGTCCTCCTGGCAGTCCTGTCACAGTTAGCCCCAGAAAAATCTCTCTGAAGTGACTTGTGATCAGTGGTTGAATAGATGGCCCCAAGTCTTTCTGCCTGTGAGAAAACTAAAGGATATAATATTTTCTGCTCCACAACATTGTCTAAAAGACAAATCCATACTAAATCTTAGCAACATAAGAAGAGCCCTGGCTGCTGGTGGTCCCAGCTGGACTGGTAGCATATCTGTGGATTACATGAGTGAAATGGATGTTCCACAGTCCTCCTTGAAGAAAGCCTCAACATGCCTGGGTGTCTGCTCCCTCCTCATTCCAGTGAGGATATGAAACCAAAATCTCTGACAGATGTTACAGCTGCTTGCATACTACGTGGCATCCTGCCTGAGGGCGTACTGAAACATCTTCCTGAGAGGAGCTGTCTCCTGCTGGAGACCGTCCTTCACCGGCTGTAGGCATCCATCAGTTCTGTAAACTCACCTGCAGCGAATCTCCATGCAGCAGGTGCCCAGTGTGGGCAGTGTAGATGCAGACTTGCAAGTGGCCTTTCCAAAATGGTAGTTTGCCATCTGTCCCCCCTCCACAGCCTCCTCTCAGGGTCAGACCGACCTCACACAGCAAGCTCCGTGCTGTGAGCCAGATGGGCTTGGCATGGTAACCTGTAATAGTAAATGTGAGGGTTGCTTGTTATCCTTTGCGTGCTGTATGTGAGGGAGTGCAGAGAGCAAGGGCAGAGTGTCCTTCGTAGCCTTGTCAGCTAGAAAAAGGAATTTGAGAGGCTGTGTGGAAGTGCATGGTCATCCTCAAGGTGTGTGTGTCCTGGAAAAATGTACTGCCAAAGTGCTTGGGCGGTGGGAGGGGTTTCATCTGCTGAAAAATTGCCCAAGGGATGTCTCAGCAGAGCTACTTCATCACAGAACTGCTGCAATACAAGATTTTTTGTGGACATTTAAGAGGTGTAATCCAAGTTGTGACATTTAACTCCCCATCTCTGCTTTGGTTTGTTTCTTTTTGGTGTTGACTTCTTTGTGTTCCTGTTTCAGACAGCACAGAATAAAACTGAGAAGCTTCCCATCTGTATTCATTACCCTCTCTTACACATTATTTGTTCAACAGCAGCATAGCTAAAGATACTGTATACTTAAGATTGATGTCCAAATGTCCTAGGACATGTAAAAGATCAAAATCAAAGATGCCCTTTTCTTACTTTTAAATAACACTTTTGAGTATCAGGTGTTGTTTCTGCCATGGTGCTATGTATAAACTAGAGATAATTTTAGAAACTTTGCCGTTCTTTTATTATTAGAGCCACAGCTCCCCATATTCAATCTCAGTAAAAATGCAAACCTACATCAAGAAATTGAACATCTTAATGTTGTTCTGAAGCTAAGTAGCTCGGCTTTGGAAGGTGAGACAAATGTTATATGTCAGGATTATGAGTGGATTTTTTTTCGTTTTAGAGGGGTATCCAGGAGAAGGGAAAAGCATCCTACTTTATTGTATTTTCTTCCATTTTATGGATGGAATTGATTGTTTTTCTTTTAACAGCTTGTATGAAGAGATCAAAGGATAAGTATTGGTCCTATAATTTGATCTGAATAGTTCTAGTTGATTCTATTGATAGTATTTCTGGGGAGCGGAGCTCACCTGTATCCTGCCAGTATTTTTTGTGGCCAGGTTATTAAGCCAAGCATTCAGTACAGAGAATTCTGACTCTGTGCACAAGCACAGTGGGGGGGCTTTGAGCTAGTGGTTCCCACTCAGATCTCAGAGCTATAGCAGGTGCTTCTGTGAAAACACTGCTCACAAGGCAAAAGAAAAAAAAATAATAAAGTAAGAAGGGAAAAGAGCACAAAACTAGGAATGCTGTTACATGTGTCTATGGCTCACCTGCATCTCACATACTGTCTCGTGTCCTAGATAGCAGAACTAGAAGCAGGAAGTACAAGTTATAGAACTAATAAGGCCAAAAAAGAGATCATCAGCTGTGTGGAATGACTTAGGTGCAAGGACTAAGTAGCTAGGCCAGGACTATTTGGGCTGGAAAAGCCCTGGAAATGGCTGTAGTGGATGTCTGCAAAGTCTTGAATGGTGTCACGAAGTGTGACCAGGGGAGGGTGAGCCACTGGCTCTCAAAGCTAGTGGACATCAGCTGCAGCAGCTTGCAGAGGTGAAGATTATTTATATTACACTGTGGTAGGCTGTCCAGTACAAAGACACAGCTGTGCCTGGGAGCTGCTGAGCCTCTCACTTCTGAGAGTGTGGCAGCTGTGCTGGGGGCTGCTGGAGCATGTGTTCCCTAGCACACTGCCTGAGCATCCAACTCAGCCTGGGCTCTGAGAGGGTTTCCCCTGGTCTGCTGTGCCTGCTGCCATGTGTTTCTATTTTACTTTATGACATGTGAACCTGGGCAGAGCAGTCAGCAGCCGAACAGCTTTGTAAAAGTGTGTCTTCGTGTCAGCAGCAGCAGCAGCATCCCACTTAAACTACAAACACATCCTTGACTGGAGTGTGGTGGTTTTACCCGATCTTTCAGCACTCAGCCACTAGATGCCTCTGTCCCCCTAGGAAGGAGCGGAGGAGCTCTCTGTGCCTGTGCCCCCAGCCTGGAAAGCATCCATGCCCTGCTTAGTGTGGGATGGGAGGAGCTGCCTGCTGTGTAAGGAGTAGAGAGCAGCGCTTGTGCACTATGCAATCCTCTGTGATTTTTCATTTTTATCATTTTCTCCTCCTTGTGGACCGTAAGATATCGATATCCCCCAAAACAATGTGAATCCAGCCTATTTTAGCAAATGAAAGAGAGAAGTTGGAGAGCAGACCCGATTGAGGTGATCAGTAAGGGCTACAAATGGTCAGGAACAAAGAAAACCGGTCAGGAAACTGCTGAAAACTGGAGAAAGAACTTAGTCTTGGTGATCAGGTGATTTGTAAGACAGCAGGGATTGTTGAGACTTTGATAGAATTTGATCCTTGGATAGGACTGACATCAAGTCAGATTTCTTTTGCTTTGCTATAATGACTAAAGCAGTCTGTGTAGGGCACTTTTATCATGAAACCTGTCTTTAAAGTTCAGGGAGAGGGTTGGATGTGATT